TGACTCCTTAATTAAAAGCAGCAAAGCCTATTCCTAAATCAAAGCGTGACATCACTATTTCAAAATACAGTATCCTTCAAAAAAAATAAAGACGAGCAGCAAGAAGCTGGACACATACTTGTAAGTATTACTTGGCATTTCTCACAGAGGTTGCTGCAATACCGTATTTCCAGCCTACGAATAATTTCCCCTCAAAAACGCTCAGCTGTGAGCCTGGGACGCAGAAATGCGATAAAACAGCCCCAAATCGGAGGGAGATGGTCCTAAACTAAGGAGATTAACTTCTTAGCGTGAAGTTTCCTCTGTGCGAATCACAACTGCCCACTAGAGTGAGAAATAATTCACGAGACCTCAGCCAAACTCGATGGCATCACCCGCATTAATCACGAAAAGGCGGAAAACCCAGCGCCCAGCTCCCGGTACCGGCTCCCCGGAACATTCCCGGCGTGTTTTCGGAGGCAGAGCACCCGAGCGAGTGACTCATCCCTTGGTACTTGCAAGGGAATAATTTTTCCTCTCTAAAGGAATGGTGCTCGCTCTTGGTGGATTTATTCATTCAACTCAGGTTTTCAAACTCGTGTCACGGGCTGGGTTTGGGTTTAATTCCGAGGAGGACAGTGAGTAAGCGAGTGACTGCCGCTGGGAATGTGCAAAGAGGATTATTTTACCTTGAGAAAGGTGATGTGTGGGGCTTTTTATTTTTTTTTTCTTTTCCCCTGCTGCTGCAATTACGCATTTTATGTTTTCAAGCTCAAAAAGAGCAGGAGGCATCAGAAAACAATCCGGCGTGAAAGGGCTCGGCTCACAAAAGCTAGGGGAGGATTTTTTTTTTTTTTTTGGTACACTGGATTTTCTTCGGAATTACATAAACAGCGGTGTTTTTAAGTCAGTCTTTCGCGGACAGAAGGGGGGAAAATTGTGACTCAGTTGGCAAAGGGAGGGGTTGCACGCTCCGCCGTCCCTATTCCTCCCTATTACCGTTAGCATTTCGCCAGTTTTTACAGAAATCCGGCCCGCTCGCGTCCTATTTTAAAAGAAAACAAGCTCCCTCGTCACCCGGCCCCTGAGTCAGGCTGTTTAAAGAGGGATTAATTTATTCTCCCAGACACGGTGTTTGTTCCATCGGGGTTTTGTTAGAGCCCG